TGTTATATACATTTTTTTTAAGTAGATTTTTTATATTCACATGTAACATTTGTTTATTTATATATTGTTTATATGCAATAAATCTGTGCTCGTAAAAAGTGTTGATTAATTAGAATCTTAGATTGTTTTTCTAATACATGCAAAACTTTGATAGCTTAGTGGTTTAATGCACTTTTTATTTTGCGAGAGTTCAAATTAGTCGTTTTGCAAGGATTCAAATCCGCCCCTTAGCACAATATACTTTTAATTTTTAGCAATGTATATTTATAGCAAAAAAAACTTTTAATTGTTAAAATAAAGTTTTAAAGTCAGACCATTAGTATTTTATTAGGATTAATTACCTGAGCACATTAATAACTCAACAATTTTAAGCTTATTTAAAAATTCTCTCCTTTTTATTTGTTATATTTTATAATTTCTTTATATATTTTTTGTATACAGAAACTATTCTAGAAAAATAATTTAGGAGGCATTGCCCCCTTTCCTGGCACCTGCCGTAAGGAAATTTGCTTTATGTAGCCATTTTTTCACCAAAAAAAAAAGACTACATATGGCCCCCCTGGTATATAATATTAAAATTTTAAGAAACTGGTGGCACTCTTCCTGAGTGCTTTATGGATGACCCATAATTGACCTGTAAATTAAATCGTTTACAAACAATTTAATTTTTCGAAATCAAAAATAAAAAAGATTTTAACTGATTTTTTTTTTTATTAGGAGAATACCAAGTAAATCTTTTTTTTTTTTTTCAATAATCTTAAATAAATATTAACAAAAAAGATTAAATAAATATAAATATACATTTAATTCTTATTTTTAATTATTTATGTGTATTTATATGTCAACCAAAATAAGAATAGATAAACAAATAAAAAGCAATAATATAAGTGCTTTTAATTAACATTTAAAAAAAAAAAAATTTTTCCTAATTTCTTCTAATATAAAAAAGTTTTAGATAGAACCTTGTCATACTTGCAATAGATCTTTCGTTATTTTCTTAAAATATATAGATTTTATTAAGTATAAAATCTGACCAACAACATGTTAACAACATTTGAATATGTTAGCTCCATTTTCACGCTAAATTAATTCCAATTAAACACTTAAACTCTACAATAGATTAATGACTCAATATCTGACTTCAATGAAATCTCCCAGCGTTGTAATTTTTTGCTGGATTTCTTAGTTACAGACTATTTGGTGATAAGTTTAATTTCTGAAACAATGAGATAAATTTTTACATCTTCAGGTTCTGAAGTTTAGTTCTAACCAACATGATGCAACATTATTAAGTGTGGATTTTAATGTTCTGCAAATGCCAGTTGTTAGATCTGTTGACATTTGATGTATTGGTACAAATTTTTTTTAAGATTAAATTCGTTTAGTTTAGGGTTTGTCTTGTTTCCTTAATTCTTGACCCATTGGGTAATCTATGCATTCCTGTCAATGTTACCCCAAAACTGAAATATGCGTTTTAAAATAATGATACAAAAAATCTTAGATGCATAGTATTTAGAATATCATAAAAAATAATAATATTAGAACATAATAAAAAGACAAAAATAATATTGTAGTATGGTTGTACTTATCTTTTAACTAAAGTTTTTTTCAGCTTCAATTATCCAAAATTTATTTAAACATAGGCGTATTGTGTTGTTATTTCTACTTACATTATAATTTATATTTATAAAATAATTTATTCTATAAATATTAATGAAATATTTTTAATAATGATTAAAAATTTTTTAGATTTTATCAACCTATTGGTTGGTTTTGTGAACATAATTTTTGTTCACAAAATTGATATATTTGTGAACATAATTTATTTTCATAAATAAAACTTTTGTCATAAGAACATTTTGTAATGTTTTGAAGTAATATTACTAGGTATACAAATTTATACACATCAATAGAAATTTCTCCAGAAACAACCTCTAAACAATAATAAAATAAGAAACTTCCATGTGGTCATAATAGGTTTAATAATTATTGGTTTAAACATAAATAGTTTTTTAGCTACCTATTTAAATTTAGTACAAATTAATACTAAATTAAAAATTTTATACCTGTTGGGGAGAAAACCATATTTTTTTAACATTTTACATATATTTTACTTTTATTTAATCTTGATAATTTTTATAGTGTTCTTACAAGTTTCAAATATAAGACAACTTTAGTTAATTATTATATTTAATAGGACATAAATTTAACATTATTTTTGAGTTTTGTACTTTTTACTCTAGATATCTATACTAAATAATGTTGTAAATTCATGTGGTAAATAAATGATCATCTATTTTTTTTATCAAAAAAAAGTTTTTGTCATTTTTTATTTTATTTAGTTTAATTTTTGTTTAATAACTCTAGTTGTATCTTTTAAATATTTTTGTCTAGTTATGGGAAAGCAAGCTTCTTCAATCACGAGCTATTGATTTTATGCCATCAGATGTTAATGTTCGAGTTAGTTTGACATATCCTCATTCTATTTCACAGATAGCAGGTTTGTTTCACAAGATTAAAAATAAAGTTAATAAACTAAAGGTCTTAAAAATTTAATAAAAGAATTTTTGTAATCAGCCAAACATTAATATAGAATTTTAAAATTGAACTAGAATTTTGAACTAGAATAAAAATTTTTGTTTCAGTAGCAAAAACAAAAAACTTTTTCTATTTGCATATCTTGGGCTAAGAACAAAATACAGTTTTGCGAAATAGAGAAAAGCAGTGTGAAAATTAAGATGTTTTGCATAAATCAATTACTTAAAAAATTTAAGCAACATATTGTCAATCTAGCTCGAAAAAAGAAAACCATTTTTACTTAAATTGTGCCAGTGGATGGAAACAAAAAGACAAAATTAATTAGAGTATAAAGTACTAAAAAACTCTCTCAAACATGAGGGGAAAAAAACAAGATATGAATTTGAGAAAACCTAGTTTCCAGAGCAAAACTATGCCCGAAGCTTCTATATCAATACATCAACAACAAGCAAAAAATAAATTACCGCATCCGATCACTTCAAGATACGAATGGCTTTATCTGTAACAAACTTCTTAATATATTAATATCTTATCACTAGCCTATCCAATCATACTAATCTTTGTAGAATCCTTAGCTATTGTAATTGTAACTCCTATTTTTAAAAAAAGATAATTAACTCATTCTAGAAAACTATAGACCTATTTTGCTGACGTCTATTATCTGTAGATTTTTTAAGTCAATAATATGCAAAGAATTTTTAGACCACTTAAAAACGAATAATTTGATGTATAACAAACTAGTTAGAGACAATGGACTTTATATAAACTTGTATGGAAAACAATAACTCAGCTGATATTATTTACCTCGACTTTTCTAAAACATTTGAAACTGTTAGCAATATAATTTTTACTTAAATTAAGAAATTATGGTATTGATAATTGTCTTATCTCATGGATTACATCTTTTTTAGAAAATAAGAAGCAAAGAGTTGTAATCAGCCAAATTGAGTTAAATTGGAAAGATGTTTTTAGTGGTATTCCTCAAGAGTCCGTGTTAGGTCCACTTCTTCTTGTCATCTATTTCAATCAAATACACAACAACAATTCTATACCAGCTCTTCAAGATGATCTTATCAAGGCATTTGAATGGTCAAAAAAATGGCTGATCAAGTTTAACAGTAAAAAGTGTCATGTTGTGCATATAGGGAAAAACAATTCAAAGCAAGATTACTTTATACCCAATTTGAACAATGACAATATAATAACTTTAGAAGAAGTTTATGTATGAGAAAGATCTAGGTATCAGTTTCTCTGCTAATTTTAAGTGGAAACAACATGCAATTAGCTCTGCGTCTAAAGCAAATCGAGCTCTTGATATGCTAAAGCGCACTTTTAGTTACATTGATAAAGAGATGTTTAATGTTCTCTACACTACACTTGTCCGTCCACATCTTGAATGTCGCTGTATGGTCTCCTTACCTTAAAGGAGATATCTATATTAGAATAAGTACAGAGGCGAGCAACTAAGCTAATTCCCTCTCTTAAAAAGATGACATATGAAAAAAGATTCGAGTTTAAATCTAACAACACTTTCAACTCGGCGATTATAAGGTGATTTGATACAAATTTTTAAAATCATCAATAAAATAGATAATCTAACCTTATATGGATATAACTTCTTAGAGCAAATAAACATACAAAATAATCAGATTAAGACACGCAGACACAACTTTAGATACAGAACCGAATTTACTAAAAGTGCTTCTAGACAAAACTATATCTTAATCAAGCAGCAACCGCATGGAATGAACTACCGGATAAAGTAGTCGAATCTTGACAAGTATCAACAAAAGAACAATAATTTAAGCAACTTATTTTTGTGAATGGCTGTTTCAGTGTGTAAATCACACTTGCTGTATTAATACACCCACAGCTTTATTAATAAATAAATAAAACCCAATTTATCAAAATATTAAATTAAAATAATATAAAATCTAATCCATGTTATCCATGTGGCATGCAAATGACAATTTCAACCACATTCATGTACTACTCCAAATACTACATAAGGTTATATATTAATCTCAATTTTCATTATTATTTTCACCATTATGTCAGTTACAACATTTTTGCTCTGAGCCCAGGATATGATGTAATTGCATAGCAACATGTTTAACATAAAAAAGGTGTAATTAATGATTAAGTATCGAATTGTAAACATATTTTATAATTAGATGAATAGTTTTAAGCATCTGATGCATTAGTTGTATCAGGTGATGATTTCTTCCATATATTATAAAGCAACCATAGTAACAACAATCCTACCATCTCCACTCGCTTCATGGTAACTTCACTGAGAGTCATACCAGCTCTTGCTTTTATTGTCTACAGCGAATTACATATGCATAGAGCAATTTATGTATGTGATTTTGGTTAAGTGAGCTTTTATCATTTTTTAACTTTTAAATTATTCAATAAGATAAAACAAGTAATTAATTTTTTAATAGTCACTTTTGAATGACATTTGTATAAAGATATTTGTTACAAAAGTAAGAATGACAATATGCTTGATATAAGTGCTATTTACTAATAAGAAAAACTCAAATAAAATTAAAAGTTTATTTTTATTTTGTTTTTATTTTATTGTAACAATAGATTTTTTAAGCTTGAAGCAAAGATCATAAAAACATAATTTAACTCTAATAAAAAATATATGATTTAATTTAAAACTAGTTTAATAAAAATATATAAATTTTTTTAGGATTTAATTTAGATTTTAAAAATATATAATTTAATTTTTATTTAAAAAATATGTTTAAGTTTATTCAAATTAAAGTTAATACTTGGGTTTAACTGTCAAATTTATTTAATTTATGTCAAAAATATTACTTAAATGTTCAATATTGAAATTTTATTCATTCTTAAAAAATTAGTTCATTTTTATCACAATTGTTTTTTCGGTCTTCTTTCCTTAACTTTATTTTTTTTCTTACTCAAAATTAAATTGTAAATAAACACCTGCATCAAAAATTTGCACAAAATATAAGTTAAACTTTTTTTTAAATGCAAGTTAAATTGCAGCAATTATTTTTTAATAATATTATATACAGCGATATAATTTTACTAATAAAATAATAATCTAATAAACCTTTAATAACTAAAGTAAATAAATTAATGTAATTTTTTTATTTGTTACTCTCTAATTTTTTTTTTAATAAAATATTATTTGTAATTGCAAAGCTGCAATTAGAAATTTAAGAAATAATTATTTTAAAAATTTTAACATATTTTAATTCATTTATGTAAATGTTGAGAAAAAAAGAAAATTGGTTACATCAAACATTTTTAAAATGCAATATTATATTTGATTATTTAATATTTAAAAAAAGTTAAAAAAAATAAACATTCCCTTATAGTAATAATAAAATAAGCCGTTAAATAACATCTAACTCGTTTTGCGGTAAATAATTTTATTGCAGTAATTTAAAAAAGTTAAGGTCTTTAAAAATATCGCCTTAAGCTAATTTATATATCGCATTAAGCTCCTTTTTTTAATGCAAATATCGCATTAAGCTCTTTTTTTATTTAAAACAAGGCCTGCATTCCATAATTTTGTTTTGTTTTGAAACAGAACAAAAATCAATGATATATTTCAAATTAAAACTTTTTTTTGTCTTTTTAAAGTTATGGTTATTCAAAGTTTTCTATATTTCGGCTAAAAGGGTATAATAAACTGGTTATAAATAAAGGGTATAATAAACATGGTTATAACTTTTAGACAGCAATAAATATTTTTATTAAAAAACTTCAAAATGTATTGGAGAATTATAAGTGGGGCTTACTTTTATTTTGATCTTAATAGTGTCGGATTAAATATATTTATGTATATACAAATGTAATTAGTTAAATGTGTTTATTTTAATAAGTTTTTTGTTTTTTTAAACAAAAACTATTGTTATTACCAACAGAAAATAAAGTATTTTAATTAAACCAAGTTTTTAGCGTTAGCATCTATGATTATTTAGGAACTAAATTTTTTTTTATGTTCTTATATTATTTAATATAAATACGTATAAACGTATTAAAATAAAATAATTTAAAAAACAGAAAATATGAAAAAATGAGTAGAAAAAAATGTTTTTTATGGAATAATAAACATATATATGGTTTTTTCCATGTATATGCGTTTTTAATAACACTTATGTGTTTTTGGAAAATGCTTTTCAATAAGATATAGAAAATTTTTTGCAACGTGGGTTTTGACATTTTGCGAAAACAGAGGATTAAACCAAATGTTTCGTGACCTTGATTTTGGTTTTGATGGAGGGATATTTTTTTGGAAAGTAATCTTTTCATTAAACCCACTTGCTGCTAACGCGTTGTTATAAAAGGATGTTGCTCCATCGAAAACTTCCTTGCTAGATAAAGTATTGCTAATATGGTTAGGTATCATAATTAGTATGGATTTAATAATACTAGGAGGATGGTTAGAATTTACGTTGATGTATAATGGATGATCACCTGGTTTTCTGTATGGCTGGAAAGTATTTTCTAACAGGTTGAAGGTAACATCAAGAAAGTTTACAATTTTTAAGTTGGTTTTTATAGCAAGATTAAATTTTTTCTTCCTATATATACATTTTAAATGTAAGGAGCAGAAACGTGGCAGTATCAGCAACAATTCTTAAAACAAAAGCCAGAGAACTTGCTGAAAAAATTAATATAAATGGATTTCAAGCGTCGTTGATGGTTGGCTTGATCGTTGGATAAACAAGTTTAATGTTTCTTTCAAGATGGAATGTAGAGAGGGTAACTCTTGTACAGCTGAAATGATCACGCCATGGAAGGAAACAACTCTCCCCACAATTTTATCCAGGTATAAACTTGATGAAATTTATAATGCAGATGAATTTAGATTGTTTTTTCCTATGCAAGTCACTTAATCTTCAATCTGAGACATGTATAGGGGGAAAGTACAGTAAAAATCATCTTACAGGAATAGTCACAGCAAGTGCAGCAGGT